CCCCAAAACCCCAAAACCCCAAAACCCCAAAACCCCAAATATTCTCCTTAAATATGAAAATATAAAAATAAAATTTGCTTTAATTTAAATTTAAAAGAATGTCTGATCAAGAAGAAATCGAACTGACTGATGAATTAGTTCTTGAATTAGGAAATGAAATTTTAAAAACCATTGGAGCTGAAGAAGAGATCACAGAAATAGAATCTTTCTGTACTGATGAACTTTATCTACAGTTATTCAAGGCTTTGTTTCCTCAACTCCCTATCAACGAACTCCAGCCAGGGGAAAGTGCTGAAGAGGTAGCCCAGAACTTGTTTACATTGATCAATCTTCTCGGAGAATACATCCTTGAGAAAGATCTTAGTTATATAAGTGCTACTTCTATAATGGAAGGTGATCTTACTCATCTTTCAGAGTTTCTCCAAATTTTACTCCAGGTAGTCGCTCTTCTTAAAGAATATGAAGAATCAAAGGATGGGTCTCCAAAAAGCCAACAAATCTCTGATAAAGAACACCCAAACTCTATGGGAATAGATAGGCCTGTTATCGGTGGAAGTGGAGAGATCAACCAACAGCCTCAAGACGACAATATGAATTTTGGAGTGAATTCAGATGAAGAACTTAAGATTGGGTCTCCTAAATTACAAGATCCAGTAATTGAAGATGAATCTCCTGAACAGATTAGAAAGAACACTCCTAAAATGGATTCTTCACCTCAAAAAGATGTTTTGATGAAGCCTGAATCTCCCAAACCAAAGATAGATCTATTCAATGATCCTCTCCTGCCAGATGATATGGATGTCCCTAGAAGCAGTAGGAAAAAGAAAAAGTCTGCTGGAGGAAGCTTTGACGGTAATGATGGTAATAACTTAGGAAATGATGGTGAGATTGACCTTAGAAATCTTACTGACGAGGACCGGGCTCTCCTAGTTCAAGAGCTTTATGAGCAATATGAGGCAGACCCCAATAACTTCCCCGAAGACCAAAGAAAATTCTTAGAAGAACAGATGCTCTATCTGATGGATAAAGGCTATATTGATGCAGAAGAGGAATCTGAGCAAGATGAAAGGATGATAGTCAAAGGAGAGATGAACTTCCCTAAAGAGCCCCTCCCTTTCAAGGATGATGAGGAAGATATACAAGAAATAGCCAACCAACAGGAGAAAATTGATGTAGATGAAGTAAAAATGGACCAACACCAACTTGATTTTTACCACAAGGAAGAGCAAAAGGATGATTCTCAAGAAGAAGAAATTCAAGACAATCAATATAAAGTTGAAGAGATTAAGAATTACCAGCCTGATGAAGAAGCTGAAATTTTCCAACAGAAAAATATGAGTGACGGAAGTGATGATCAGGAAGAAAGTAACCCTGCTGAAAGAACAGATGAATCAGAGATAGATGAGAGGACCAAGCTAGAAATTCTCCAGAAAATGCAGGAGGAGCAACAAAAAATATCTCAAAGAATCTCTAGAAGGACAAAACCTTCCAAAAAGAAGAAAAAGAAGAGACCTTCAACGGCTAAATATTCATTTGGAATGATGAGAGATAGATATCCTAGACCATGGACATCCAACACAGTCAAACCTAAAAAGAAAAAGAAGAAATCAAGGAAGAACATCCCTCAAGATGTGTACCGAGAACAAATGAGACAACAACAGATCTTACATGCCTTAGCAATGGAGCAACAAAAGATGGAAAATCTAAATTATGAAGGACAGAATACTCATAGCCCAGGAAATATAGAAATCACTCCTGAGCAAGCTATCCTTCTCTACCAACAACTTACAGAAAGACAGAATGCAGGAGAGGAGCTGACTAATGAGGAACTAGAGCAACTACAGTTTCTTAGAAATTTGCTAGAGCAAAATGCTGCAAATCAAAACCAAACTAATCAAGTTTCTCGGCCTTTTTCATATTTTTCAAAGAAGCCAAGAAGAAAGAAGTCAACGATGAAAAGAAAGTCTTGAAGCAGAAGACGGTCTAAAAAGGCAAAGAGAAATTTTGACCAAGAGCAGCTTTTGATGTATCAACAGCATCTCCAGATGCTCCAAGAACAGCAATTACAAGAACAGCAGCAAAAGCTGGTGCCTTCAAATCCAAACATTGAACTTCCTGATGGAGTTGAAGAAATAAAAGAAGTCGAAAATGAAGAGACTCCAAACCAAGAACTTCAGTCAAACGAGATGAGTAATGATATACAAGATTCTGAACAAGAAAATGAAATAGCTTCAGAACAAGAGGTCCCACCACAAATCAATGTTAAAGCTCCTGCCAAGTTCAGAATGGAAGAAGAGGAGGAAGAAGATAGTAAAACTGACCAACCTCTTGAGTATTATGATGGTGAAGGAAATCTAAATCCTGAGGTTCTACAAAATTTGAGCCCAGAGCAACTCTACCAACTTCAGCAGCTCCAAGCACAGCAGGAGCCTTCTGAAATGTCTGAACAACAGTTTGATCCAAATGATCCTCAAAATCTAGCTGCAATTGATCAGATGATGAGAATGAGTCATCAAAACGAGCTGCTTCAAAAGGAACTTCAGTCAACCAAGCCCTTATCAAAATCCGTCTCAAAAGTAATAAAAAGGTTCAAATCCATGAGGAAGTATGAACTTGATGTTTATGATAAGAAGTTTCAGACTGAACTCAGAAAAGCCCAACGAGCATCTAATAGAGGAGAATATTTCCAAGAGATCCTCAGGCAAAGTCTCGAATCTGCTCTTTCACAGAGAGGCTTGGATGGTAAGGGCTTTTCTGATAGTTTAGGCAAAGGAATTATCAGTAAGACTAACAACTTGTCAAAATTTGTGACTCCTCTAATGCAATACTGAGATAAAGACACAGGTCTGAAGTCTTTTGGAGTACTAGCTGCATTTTTAATCTATTTAGGACCTCTATCAGGAGTATGCAAATACTCAACTAAAAGCTAAGCTACAAAAATCCACTAAATCTAAGACATCTAAAAGGCATGAGAAGGTGTTGAAAAGGATAAAAGAGGCTCAATTCCAAGAATCTCTTTATAACAAACAAAAATCTCGCTTGCTCAAGCGTGATGCTATGCAAGCCAAGATTAACAGGAAGCTGGAGACACTGGCTAGCAAACTTGAAAAGGAGAAAATTCTTGAAGAGAAAAAGCAACTAAAATCTTACAACAAAATGCTTGCTGATGAAAAACAGATAATGATGGAAGCCTTCACAAAATATTTTGATGACCAGATTACCTCCACAAAAGAGAGAATCGAGGAAGAAAAGCTTGCTAAGAGTCTCATAGAAAAAGCAGAGATCCAGGCTACTTCAGCTTGGAAAAAAGAACTAAATAAAAAAACAAACAAAAAGCTAGAAAGACTGTTTAACAGACTAGACCAAGAAGACGAACGATACGAAGTGGAAAATCTCGACTACGACAAAATGGAACAAAAACTAATCACTATGTACAAGAGGTTCTAAACTGTTCCAATTATCTCCATCCCAAAAGGGGTTTTGGGGTTTTGGGGTTTTGGGGTTTTGGGG